CCCCCTCAGGTGAGGGCTCCGTCTCACATCCTTCGCGCCTTCCCTTAGGCGGGCCCGGGTTCTTCCTCCTCCTCCTCCTCTGGCTGCCCAGGGAGCGCTGCGCGGGCCCCGCCGCCTCCTCTGCCCACCGGACCCCGAGGTTGGCGGACCTAACCCCGCTGGGCATGGGGGTCGGGAGCCATGGCCTCGGCGTCGCAGGGAGCGCTTCCCCTCCTCCGGGCCCAGGGCCCCCCAAGGGTCCGGACCCTGGACAAAGGCGGGAACGCCGGCTGATAGGATGAGCAGGAGGTCGGACCGCAGCCTCGTGGAGACCCGGGGTTAGGGCGAGGCCAGAGGCTGGCGTAGGCGGGCCTGGAGGTTGGGGTAAATACAGGACGGACAGACGTCGGACGACGTGTGGATTTTGAGTGGTGACAGTAGAGAATGACGTCTTGGGTTCTGCCCTTGAACCAGGAGCCAACATGTTGGTGATCCCTCCCGGACTGAGCGAGGAGGAAGAGGCACTGCAGAAGAAGTTCAACAAACTCAAGAAAAAGGTAAGGGCGGGAGCGCAGGGTGCCGGCCGCCCGGGTGAGGGAGGCCATGGCGGCTCTGCTGCCTCCAGGCGCAGACCCGGAGCATATGTGTCGGGTGGCCTCACCAGCATCGTCAGATCTTGGTTTGAACCCCCCCTCTTTTCTGTTCAGTCTCCCGTGGGATTGTCGTCTTTCCTGTGGCTTTAGTACCACTCACGAGCTGGAGAGTCTCGCCTTTGGAGTCCCAGTTCCATCCAGAGTTTGACCCACCAGACACCCAGGCTAGAGCCACCTTCCTGTGCCATCTCCCCTTTCCTTGCTTTCAGATAGGACCTGCTACACTTCAGAGGCCTTAAAATCTCATCTCGGACCTTTTTTCCCCCTCTTCAGACAGGGCCTCACACTTTAGCCCAGGCTGGATTGAAACGATGTAGCTTTGGGTAGCCTGGAACAGTTCTGCCTGAACCACCATACTCTGTTCACCCCACACCCAGCTCACTTCTGGCTTCTGTACTGTTTACACAGCATAACATCTGTCAGGGCTGTCCATGCTCTGTCCCTTCCCCTTCCCACTCTTTTTTTCCCCCCTTTGAGGCAGGATCTCAGTCCACGACCCAGGTTGATCTTGAGCTCCTGGGTTCATGTGATCTTCCTGCCTCCGCTTCCCTGAGGAGCTGGAACTGTAGGGACACAATGCCATACTCAGCACTCTTGATTATCAGTGGTCCTTCTAAGTAATCTCTCAATTTACTCATTCCTACGAACCCCCAGAACAGGGTTTTGCTTGGCTGTTTTGGAGGGGCACACTTGCTCCATTGAAAACACTTCAAAGGTTTCACATTGTGTATAGAACCTGAAATCTCAGTTCAGCATCCCTGTCAAAAAGACAGAATTATTTACTCTTAAAACATGCATCTCCCCGGGCAGTGGTGGCGCATGCCTTTAATCCCAGCACTCAGGAGGCAGAGGCAGGAGGATCTCTGTGAGTTTGCTTATTCTTGGCTGTCAGTCTAGTCGTTCTGTTTCCGATTGTAAGTTTCTTATGGGTAGGAGCTAGGTGTTTCACCTTTGTGCAGCCTCATTAAATATGCAGGCGCTAGGTAGGTACGATCCCCAAGGAAGACATTCAGGCCTTATTTGCAGCTTGTCTGGTAGGGCTTATGTTTTTTCCAAAACGTGAGACTAGAGAGCCTTTGGATGCCGTGGTTGGTTTGGTTAGGTTAAATGTTGTTGGCGTCATGATGCTGTAGAGACTAGACGTACCACTCCAGGACAAGGACACCATGTGTACTGTCCCTGGAATGATGCACGTAAGAGACCAGCACCTTGGCTGCCAAACTTCTTCTCGTGACTCTTTCTCCTTCCCAGAAAAAAGCATTGCTGGCGCTCAAGAAGCAGAGTGGCGGTGGCACCGTGAGCCAGGGTGGCGTCAAGCGCTGTAAGTGACGGAGAGTCGGGGGGAGCAGCACAGGCTGCCCTCCGCTGCAGCCAGCGTAATGCCGCCCTCCCTTCCCCACCCCAGCACTGTCAGAGCAGCCTGTGGTGGACACCGCCACGGCCACCGAGCAGGCCAAGCAGCTGGTGAAGTCAGGAGCCATCAGTGCCATCAAGGCTGAAACTAAGAACTCAGGCTTCAAACGTTCTCGGACCCTAGAGGGGAAGCTGAAGGTGAGCAGGGCGGGATGGTTTGGGGCACCCCGACTTCAGTGAGATCCCCTCAAGCCGAAGGGAGGCGGGGTTATGCTGTTCTGGGGGTCGGGCAGGGCTGGGGCTAGCGGGGCGCACCACCGACACCGCTGTCTATCACACAGGGAGCCTAGGTGACTCCCACACGTCTGCTTTCGGGTTGAAGGGAGGTTTGGGTAAAACCAGCACATTAGCTGGGCAGACAGAGCGGCACACTCCTTTAACCCCAGCACTGAGTTCAAGACCAGCCTAGTCTAAAGAGCAAGTTCCAGGACAGCCAGAGCTACACAAAGAAACCCTGTCTTGAAAAACAAAAACACCAGCCCATCATCAGTAAGAAGTTTAATATGAGTGAGAGAGGAATTAGATGAGAGGCCGAGAAGAGAAGGACGAGGAGCTCTCCTGGTCCGCACTAACGGGTATCTACCCCTTCCCAGGACCCCGAGAAGGGGCCTGTCCCCACTTTCCAGCCCTTCCAGAGGAGCATATCTGCTGACGAGGACCTGCAGGAGGTAATGGTTTCTGTGGGCTGGGCCTTGACAACAAAAGACCCACATATTTTGGACCCCATTCCAGCACCTGGGAATCCTCTTAATTGTTCTTTGTCTTGTTTTTCCCTCAGTCATCCAGACGTCCCCAGAGGAAATCTCTGTATGAAAGGTTAGAGACAGACCGCCATTTGGTGTGGGGTCAGTGGCCGGAGTCCTTAGAGAGAAGCGCAGTTTGGTGTGGGGTGAGAGGCTGGAGTGGGAGGAGCCAGCTGTAGACGGAGTGTTGACTCCACAAGGTCTGTAAGGAGACGGAGCCCCTCTGGTCCTTACTGTCTGCCTCTCCCCAGCTTTGTGTCTTCTAGTGATCGGCTGCGGGAACTGGGACCAGAGGGAGAAGAAGCAGAGGGCCCCGGGGCTGGTGATGGCCCACCTCGAGGCTTCGACTGGAGCTATGAAGAACACGGCGGTGCCCGCTCCTCATCCTCCCCTCCCCGAAGCCGCAGCCGGGACCGAAGTCATGAAAGGAGCCGAGATAGGGACCGGGACAAAGACCGAGACAAAGACCGTGATCGAGACAAAGACCGTGACAGAGACAAAGACAGAGACCGGGACAGGGACAGAGACAGAGACCGAGACAAAGATAAGGATCGGGATCGAGACAGAGACCGGGAGCGAGAGCGAGAGGGCCCTTTCCGCAGTGAGTGCTCTTGGCCAGGGTTAGGTGGGTCCTGCTGAACAGAGGGGGACGGGGACTCAGCAGTGATTCCTAACCCGCAGGGTCAGACTCGTTCCCCGAAAGGAGGGCCCCTCGGAAGGGGAATACTCTGTATGTGTATGGAGAGGACATGACACCCACCCTCCTCCGAGGGGCCTTCTCCCCCTTTGGAAACATCATTGACCTCTCCATGGACCCACCAAGAAAGTAAGGATGAGCATCCTGGGGAGCAAGCTGCGTGGGGACAGTAGGTCTGGGGACCTCCACTGATCCCACCTTTTCTCACCCCAGCTGTGCCTTCGTCACCTACGAAAAGATGGAGTCTGCAGATCAGGCCGTTGCTGAGGTTGGGACTTCCCAGACCCCTTCCTCCTGCCCGTCCTGTCCACCTCAGGGTTCTGACTGAGAAACCTTCATCCTCAGCTCCCTGTCTGGTCCCCAGGGTGGCAGCACCTGGCTCCCTGTAATGCCCGTCCCTTTCCTGTCCTCTTTTGTTCTGCAGCTCAATGGGACCCAGGTGGAATCCGTGCAGCTCAAAGTCAATATCGCCCGCAAACAGCCCATGTTGGACGCTGCTACTGGCAAGTCTGTCTGGGGCTCCCTTGGTAAGAACGGCCTCCCTCCCCCTACAGCACCCCACTCTGGGCTCCCTCCACGGCTTTGGGTCCTAAAGTGCTAGAGGTCAGGATTTGCATACAGGCAGCTGTCTGTCAGAGGTGAGGGAAGGAGAGGAACATTAAAAGGTCCCCCGCAGTGACTGGCACGGAGAAGAGAACGGGAGCCCGTTTGTCCCCTCGGAGCTGGAGTGGCGTCTGAACTTGAAATTGTAGGTCTAGACCTCAAGCAGAAGGCCAGGCTCAGAAATGTAGATTAGTGTCCTGAACGTCTGGAACCCTCCGAGATGGGGTTTTGGAGAAAAAGGTGACCCAGGACTGGTTTGGGGCATCAAGTACGTTAGGAAGCTGGGCTCTGCCTGTGCTGAGCACATCTCCAGCAGTCCTGGTGTGCCAGGCTGAGTGGCCGCTGCAGCAAAGGAACCGTGAAGAAGGGCCCAAGCTGAGAGCAGCCCCAGGGCCCAGGCCATGGACCCAGGCTCTGAGAAGGAGGGGTGGTCAGCAGAGGCAGGGCACAGGACCAAAGAGGGGGGCTGCTCTGGCCCCAGATGTAGGTTGGAATCCTTGAATGGGATGAGGAGTGTGAGGAAAGAGAAGCTGAGCACTTGGGTTCTGAGGGGTCTTCAAGAGTCTGGTGTGGCCTGTGGGGTTTCTCAGTGTGGACAGCCCAATCTGCCTGAAACAGATTTTCAGAGCAAGAGGCCCTGCAGACACCAGGAAAGAACCAGAATCGACCAGTATACCAGCAAGGGCCATACAGATGTTCTCATCTTTAATTTGCTTGCATTTCATGATTTCATCATTCACATGTCTCCCAGTGATAAGGTTCTGGATTGTCTAAGCCACGCTGACTCTGGCCACCAGAGGGCAGCATCAGCACAAGGCCAGGGCAGAGGTAGCCGGGACCTCGGGTCTAACCTGTGAGCTGTTTCAGCCCTTAACTGTCACTTTCCTCCTTCCTCAGCTGTCCAGAACAGCCCTAAGGGTTGCCACCAGGACAAGAGGACCCAGATTGTGTACAGTGACGATCTGTAGGAAACCTTTGTGGATGGCTTCTAGGACACGAAGCTGGATTCCTTGTGCCTCATATGCCCCCAAGCTGGTCTCAGTAAAATCCCGGGGCAGAAGCTCATTCACCTCCTTCAGCCTCTAGTTTTTCAGCCCTTGGGATCGGGGTTAAACCTTCAAAAGTGGCTGTCAGTGTTGATGTTACTTGTAGCAACATGACCAGTGCACACCCCTGTTCTCTCACCCCCAAAAAGATGTGGAACACACTCTTTATTGCAGCTGCTTTAATTGATCCTCACCCCCTCCTGGCAGAAAGCCCCTCATAGGAAATCCAAATTCTCATCTTTGAGTTTCTCCTTGAGCCAGGGCAGCACCTGGAAAAGATTGACGTGGAAGTCCCGGGCATGAGCGGGTGCCAGCTTCTTCCGCCTCTGGTCTCTGCAGACGTCCACTACTCCCCAGCTGATCACACCGACCTGGGTAGGGGAAGGGGTGCCTTGGGTCACTTGACACTTCATAATCCCAGAAAGCATCGAGCCGACCTAAAGAAGTGCTCTGGGAGCCCAGCTCCGTGGTGCACGTAGGCCAGACACTTAGCTTGTACTGGCCACTTCAGACCATGGCTGTCAGATGAGGCGTGCCCTGTTCTGCTGCCATTACCAGCCATGTGCATCAGGCTTTCCTTTTTGTGGCGCATGCTGTCCCCTGGGCATCTCCCCACAGACTGGAAAAGTGAACACTCACTTGAATGAAGCGGCTCCTCTTGTGAACAATGAGAGGACCCCCAGAATCTCCTGTGGAAGAGAGAAGCTGTAGGGGAGACTGCTGGGCCTCATGGGCTTGCTCCATGGCCGGAGAGCCACCTCACCTTTACAAGTGTTGGGGTCAGCGTAGGGGTCCACCCCTCCAGTGCAGAGGAACCTGGGGGTGACCACCGCAGAGACATCCTTGACTTTGTCGTAGCCTGGGGCCTTCAGAGCGTCTCTCTCACAGCTGGCTTTCTGTAGGGGAGAAAGGTGTGGTGACCAGAGCTGGCTCGTCAAGGACCAGCCCTAGGTGGCCTCTAGGAGCCCCTTCTCACCTTGTCCCCATTCTTGATGTAGACCTCCTTCCGGGTCAGTTTCTTCGCTTCCTCAGACACAAACAGAGCTTTGACGTCCTTCACAGGGAGCAGCTCCTCCTCTGGACAAGTGACAGTGTCATGCCAGCTGTGTCCCCCCACCCCATGTCCCCTCGATTCTCACCCAGCAGATGTCCCTTGGACCCATCTTAGGAGCTAGGCCTTGAGTTGAGCATAGCTGTGCTCTGGCAGCTCCCTCTTGTGACCCCTTTGTCTTGGGTCTCCCCCCTGTCTCACCCCAGACCACGCCTTACTGTGCTGCTTGCAGGTGGCTGTGAGAGGAAGCCGTAAGGCCCGGGTGGTTCCCTCCGTGCAAGGAAGACAGATGGGCCTGTCCAGGACATGGGGACAGTCAGGGGCAACAGACAGCCTGCCCTGTGCCCTGTCCCTCCAGCCCACCTTCCTCAGCTCCTCGGGGACCTGGCCCCACTCACCTGAGAGTCTGGCCATACTTCAGTTTGGTCTTGAGCTTGATGAGAGCCACATCGTAGTCATAGAACTCAGCGATCCCGTCTGCCTTTTTCTCATTGATGTTGTATTTGGGGTGGAATAGGACCTCTTCGATCTCCAGGTCCTGCCTGTTCCCTTCTGAGAGGAGAAAAGTGGTGTCGTGTTTATGTAGGCAGCCTCCTGGCTCTGGCCCCACAGCATCATCTGAGTTTTGTTTTTGCCACCCTTGGGGCAAAAGGGAGGGGCTGTGCTGAGGACAGGTGAGATACGCGTCTGCTTCCTGAGCATGGGCCCGGAGATCAGAATCCTGACTGCATCCTTACCCACGTTGACCTTGATGGAATGCTTCTGATCTTCTACCGTGAAACAGTGTGCTGCCGTCAGCACAAAGTACTCAGACACCACGGCCCCCATACAGTTCTCATGTCCTTTCAGAGGGCGCTGGGGAAGAACCGGTGTCATGTCAGCCTTGGTGTGTGTGGTGCTGGGCGTGGGCTTCATCCATGCTAGGTCAGTACTCTGTAGTCCTGGCTTACTATCGCTCTCTAGCTCTCGCTTGCTGAGTATCCCTGGCTGACCTCAAACTCAAGGTAGTTCTGCTTCCACTTCCAGCTGCTGGGGGCACCCCCATGCCCCTCGTCCAGCTTCATTTTTCCGCTTTCAGACAGTTTCATAAGTTACCGGTGCCGGCCTTGAACTCACTGTAGCCCAAGCAGGCTGTGAATCTCAGCCCTGCCTCAGTTTCCTCAACAGCTGGGATTATGGACCTTGCTAGTGTGGGCATTTCATCTCCCTCCCACAAGTACCCACTGCTGGAATGCTCACCGTGACTGAGATCTTGGCCTGCCATGGTTGCTTGTGATAATCACTGCCTTTCTTGTGCTCCCACACCATGCCGCAGAGGCTCAGAGATTTGCTTTCATCTGGCAAAGGAAGAGAAGGCAGAAGGCTCAAGTTATGGCAGCCATCTTTGTCGGATCCCTGCCTGTCTGTGGGGAGCAGAGGCCCGTGAGGAGGGAGAGGGGAGTGGTTCTTTGTGTTAGATGAGGAACCCCTGTGGTGTGAGAAAAGCTTAAGACCAGGCTATCTGAGGATTGGTCATTTTCAGCCCCAGTCTTGTGCTGACTTCCTGTCTTGGCCTCAGTTTCCACATCTGTGAAGTGAACTCAGAGTTCTGTGATTGTGAGATCAGGAAGTGCAGAACTACAGGAAGTAAGAGTAGACACTGGGATGGAGGGGGGCGGCAGTCTGCCAGGGTGAGGGAAGTCGGCAACCCCAGTCTGCAGACAGCTTCCCCATACATTTCCTTGCATCTTCCTACCAATCATTTGGAAGAAAACATTCTCCAGGTCCTCCATATCCTTGACTTTGAACACATGCTGCTCATTGTTCTTTTTGGAAGCCAAGGCATTGATGTTCACGGGGTCCACCAGAGGCCCGACCCCAAACACATACACGTCTGAGGGAGAGAAGGAAAGGGTGAGGGTCCAGGCCCCGAGGGCTGAGAGTGCTGGATCCCAGGTGGGTCACTCACCCAAATAATCTTCCCGGGGATTCTTGCGATCCCTGCCAATGTGCAGCAGGTCTCGGATCTCCTCAATGACAGTGACGGGGTCTCCACCCATGTTGTACATGCCTGTGAGAAGCATGGAGACCATGAAAGTGGGTCGGGGAAGCTCCACTGACTGGAGACAATCACATGTGGTCTTGAGGACCAAACACTGGCACAAGAGATGGGAGGATGGGAAGGTAGAAAGGTCTCACCATCGGTCATAATGATGATGACGTGGCGGGTTCGATTCCAGCCTTCGGGTGGGACATCCTCTGCCCAGCTCATCATGCTGTATACAGCCTGGAGCGCCTTCTTGGTGTTGGTCCCTGACTTCAACTTGTGGTCTGTAGAGAAGAAGAGGTCATCCCTTTGCCTGATCCTCCAAGCCACTCTTGAGCCCCAGAAGTCTATGACAACTGAGATCCCACATTCTTTAACTTTTCTTTTTTAGGGTTTTGCTTCGCTATATAGACCATGCTGGCCTTGAACCTACAAAGATCCATCTGCTTTTTGAATGTTGGGATTAAAGGCATGTGCCACCAAGCCCAGCCGATCTTTAACTTCCAGTCTGTTACCCACATGCCCTTGGCTCTCCCAGCAATCTCAAGGGCACTTTTGGTAAACTGATAGTCTGTACCATCTTGGGGTGTAACCCCAAGGTGCACCTCCCAGCTTTCCCTTCCCTGACCTCTGACCTTCGTAGCTGATTTGGTTGAGCTTCTCGGTGACCCAGTCGGCATCACTGCTCTTTTCATCCGACACTCTGACCAAGACTTTGGGGACCGTGGCATAGGTTATCAGACCGTATCGTGGCCTCACCCCATAACTGGCCACCTGTGAGTTAAAAGAACACTGTGTCATGGGGGGTTCAGCCTGCCGTTGAGACAGGGGGGCCAGAGTGAGGCTCGAGGGTTACCCATGAGGAAGGGGCTGGAGGACAGCAGCGTCTGGACCTGAGGATCTGGGCACGCGGGAGAGGTCCAGACAAGGCCCCCTGTTTCAGAGGGAGGGAAAGCTCTGCTCTACCTTCTCAATCAGGTTAGTGAGGCACCGCTTGGCCCCAGTGAAGTTGCTGGCCCCGATGCTTTCTGATCCGTCCAGCACCAGGTAGATATTCATGGAGCCCGAGGGATCCAGGACAATCTTCCTCTGCTGGTGTTCACCTGGGCGCCATCAGACACTCAGCTTCTGGCATGCATAGTCCCTGGCAGGTCATCCACCCTTCCCCAGGGTCCTGCCCAACCTCCTTCCTTGTCCCCAAACCTGGACTGTGCCCATCCTCAGCGTCAACTCCTTCGATGGTCTCTGTCAGGGAGGACAGGAATGCTTCGGCCACCTCTTGAGGGGTGTCATACATGAAGGAGTCTAGGGGTGGTCAGAGAGCGGGTCAGGTGTCTGGGGTGCTGAGGACACACTGGCAGGGTGCAGGGAGGTTTGGGAAGCGAGAGGAAAGAACTAAGGTAAGGTGGTGAGAAGCGTCCTGGTGTGGAGACAGCAGAGAGGAGCTGACCCGGGAGCAGGTCACGAGTCACCTTGGCAGGAAGGCTCTGTCCCACTCCACAAGCCCCCTTCCTGGCATATTCGCTGCTGGGAGCCACGCAGGACAAGTCCCCGGCTGCAGTGATAAGTGACAGTGTCTTCAAGGCGGTACTGGCTGCCCACCTTCCTTGTGCCAATGGGAATACCCGGGTTGGGACAGTATCCCGCTGCAGAGACATGAGGACCGTTGGAGTGCCCATACATTCCCAGGGTGAAGCCTTCAGGGAGAGGGTGACGCCGGGTGACCCACGTCTCACCTCCATCATCACAAATGGCCGTTTGTCCATCCCACCGGCCATTGTCTTGGCAGGTGCGGTTAGCAGAGCCCCGGAGAGTGTAACCGTCATAGCATTGAAAAGAGATCTGGTCACTCAGGTTGTAGAAGGGAGACCGGGGCCAGTACTCCCCATTTTCAAAGTCCTGTGGCCGTGGGCAGCGTATCGCTTTAGGGAAGACAGGTAAAAGTCACCGAGGTCCTTCGTGTCACTGAGACACAGTGCCTGCCAGTCCCCTCAACCTGCTGCCCCTCCTCTTGTGTTTTGAGACAAGGTCTCATGTAGCCCAGGCTGGCTTCAAACTCACTATGAAGCTGAAGATGACTGAGCTTCTGCCCCTCCTGCCCGCCTCCTGAGTGCTGGGATTACAGGCGTGTACCTGCTCCGTGTAGTAGTGCTGCTTTGCTCCTGCTGGGCAAGCGCTCCACCAATGGAGCCACATTCCGAGACGCCTTTCCCCTATTTCTCAGTATTGTTTTCACTGCCAGGGCTGCCCGACATGAGGAAACACTTCCCACATGCACCCTCAGAGGTGTGCCCACTGCTCAGCCGGCCGGTCACACAGCTCTAACGTTACCAAGCGCCGAGCGGCCTCCCCCTGCTCTGTCCCCGCCACCCACTGCTCACACTCTCAAGCCTCCAACCTCTGCACTCTGCCTTCTTGACAGTCTTTTGGTCTCGGGTCTGCAGGGCGCTCCAGGAGCCTGTGGATCTGCAGGTTCTGGTCTGTACGGGGTACGGGTAGAAGCCAGAGGGACACAGGTACTCCAGGGCCTGGCCACCTTGGAGAAGCTGGAAGGTGCCACCTTTGATCTCTACTCCTTCCAGAGAGCAGGAGACCTGGGGCTGGGCTGCAATCACTGGAGTCGTGCTCACACCTGAGGAGAAAGGCTGGTGAAGCCTGGCCCCAGAAGGCCCAGGACAGAGGCTAGGGACAAAAGGAGGATGGGGTGTCCTTTGCTTACCTCCAGAGGAGAGACCTACGACCAAGAGGACCAGGCAGAGTTGAGGTCTCCGATTGTATCCCATCATCATGGAGAGCAAAAGAGAGGCCAGTGGCCGAAAGCCCTCTCCAGTTCACTCTGGGTGTCTACTTGGCTCCCTGTCCAAACTGAAACTGTAACGCTGGGCCCGGCTACGCCCCTTCCCACTGGCCCTGGCCTTTTATGCAATCTGCTCTGGCACCTGCAGTTTGGTGGCTGCCCCACACAGACACCGCTTTCCCGGAACATTCACGAAGGAGGGCCCCTGCTGAGCTGCCAACCGAGGAAACAGAAACCATCCCAGCCTCACTCTGTCCTGACCAGGGGCCAGAATTTCCCTTTCCAAGCTCCTCCTTATCCCCCAGACCCTCCCAACAAGCCCAGACCACCCCCCTAGAGGCCAGCTTCCCATGGACTGCGTGATGGGGCAGAGTCCAGCCGCTGTTTGTGCAGCAGGGTCTCTGACCTTCCTGGAATCTCCCCGGCCTCCCCACCCCCAAGACAGAAGACAGACAGATGTGGAAATCACTGGTTTTTATTAATTTCATAACTGGGAAATTCCATGTGAGAATGAAAAGCACAAGCCATGCACTCCAGGGAGAGGTTTGCACACGGGCAGGGCAGGGGGGACGGACAGGGGTCCCTGTGCAATCCTGGGGATCCCCCAGCTTTTGCTACTGTCTCTGGATTCCCGGGGCCCAGAATGTATGTACCCAGGAGGGAGGACACTCAGAGGCAGCAGACAGGAAGGTCAGAACATAAAGGAGCCAAGAACCATGTTAAAGCGGCAAAAAGTTCAGGACGCCAGCCAGGTGCTGCCTCAGCCAGGGCTGCAGGCGGAAGAGATTGATGTGGAAGTCTCTCGGCTGAATACCCTGGGGAGGCTGCCTGAGGGAGTTTCTCTTCGAGGAACTGAAACAAGGGTCATAAAGACCCCAGCTCACCAGGCCCACCTGGGGGAAGAACAACGAGGTTGGATATCGTGGCAGCCACACTCCAAGACTCAACCTGTCTGGTCCCTCCACGGCTCCCACCTGACCCAGCAAGAGCGACTTGTACCCTGCCTGGCAGCCAGCCCCCTCCAAGTCCTGCTTCCCACCTGGAAGAACCTGTATCTCCGCTTAAGGAAAACCGCGCCCCCAGACTCTCCTGCAGGGAAAGAAGGGGCAAGAGACGGTGTCACCCATGGCAGCACGCTAGTATCCCGAGTGTGTGCTGGCGACCCCAGAGCTTCTCCCCGGGAGCAGAGGAGCGGGCTTCTTACCTCTGCAGGGATGCTCATCGCCGGACATCCCGCTGCACAGGAACTGGTCTGTCACTATCTCACTGATGTTTGTCAAGCTGGGGAAGATGTTTTTGCTTTCGGAGACGGCCTTGATACAGTTTGTCCACTGCAGCGTGGGAGCAGGAGAAAAGAAGACGCCAGGAGACATTAGGCAGACCAGCAAAGCCCTGGAGAAGGGGAGACTCCAGGCAGGGTTGGACATTCTGGGAGCTGTCCCCCAGGGGGTCCCTTACTGATCTCTCACCTCGGGTCCTGTCCTGAGGCTAATGTTCAGTTTGTTCCCATCCAAAGCCACAAAATGTGCAGGGACTTTCTGCTGATTCAGAAGTTCTGTCTCTGCCATGGGGTGAAGGCAGTGTGAGGACAGAGCCCATGCACCCAGCTTGAGGACTGCAGCCCAGGCCCTGCCAGCACACCCAAGCTCGGGCCCCAACTCAGCACAGACCTTAAGCCTTCAGGACTCACCATGGTCTCTACAGGTGCCACCTGGGGGTCTTCGAAGAGCCGTGTTGGCCTCCACAGTGCAAGGAAGGCAGATTGGCCTGGGGAGAAAGGTGAACGTCACAGAGGCCCAGCCTCAGTATCCCCTCTGGTTCTTCCCAGAGCACTGCCCTCTGTAGGGTGCCCTCCCAACCCGGGCTCAGGTACCTGGCATGAGTGGACATTTTCACTTTCTGGGCCAGCTTCAGCAGGGCAATATCATCAGCATAGAACTCTGAGATGCCCTGGCTCCGCTTGGCATGGACATCGAACCCTGGGGCAATTAACGCCTTCTCCACAAGGAATTCTTTGCCACGATGAGAGGTGGGATCCCCTGGGAAGAGAGGTGGATTAGGGTGGACCAGAAGAGACCAGAGGCTGAGGAGAGACAGGGGTGACTCCAGCCTTGGGGTGGGGGCCTGCTGCAGCCCCTGACTTACCCACAATGACCCTCCACAGGTGCCGGTCCTCCATCTGGGAGTCGTGGAAGCAGTGGGCGGCTGTCAGCACCCACTGGTCAGAGATGAGGGACCCCCGGCACGTCTCCTTGCTCTTGGGCTGCAGGGAACAGACAACAGCCAGAGTTTGTTGTTATCCCTCTTCTCACCTCTGGGATCCAAGCCCCGCCTCTCCCTCTGGATACCTTAAAGGTGACATGCCAAGGTGTCCTCTCCTGGTTAGAGGCATTGGCAGACATGTTCCCCACCCCACAGATGGTGTCTGTGAGCTTGGAGACGTCTGTGGATGAAGACCGGTGGGGAGGAGGTGGGTGATGGGCACAGGTCCATGCTGGCACCCTGAGCCCCCAGCTGACTCCACACTGCGCTCTGCTACAGGGGGATGAAGCTTCCTTCACTTACCCAGCATATTCTCAAAGACCTGTTGCACTGCCTTCGAGTCCTTCAAGATGAAGGCATGCCTCTCGCCGTCCTTCTTGGACCCCAGCTCATTCAGTTCTTTCCAGTCCACATCCAGGTTGCCCACCCCAATGGCATAGATGTCTGATGGGAAAGAGGGAAGTCACCAGAGCCTGTGGCCGAGAGGCCACCCAAGACGTGAGGCGGGTACTTGAACTCACTAAGCCGACAAAGACCTGAACTGGATGGACTCCGCCTCCTTTCACCCTGTCTGACTTCCTCCTCCTGCCAACACCCCACCCCAGCCCTGCTCAGGCCTCCGCTCCAGCAGCACCCCCAGCTGGGGTATTCTCCCCCAGATGTCCACACAGCTCTTCTCCAGCAAGGTCTTCTACGTCTGCAATGCCCCTGACACTCCCTGCCCTCCCCACTTGACTTCACGTCGTGGCGCTGAGTACCTATCACTCGCATGCTCAACAATTGCCCTGTTTACTTCCTGTATTGCCTACAGTGGGTAGAATTGTGTTTCCCAGAAGAACGTGTTCAAGTTTATTGTGAATGTGACCTGCATTAGAAACAGGGTTTTGGGCCAGGCAGTGGTGGCGCATGCCTTTAATCCCAGCACTCGGGAGGTAGAGCCAGGAGGATCTCTGTGAGTTCGAGGCCAGCCTGGTCTACAGAGTGAGATCCAGGGCAGTCACCAAAACTACACAGAGAAACCCTGTCTTGAAAAAAAAAAAGAAAAAGAAACAGGGTTTTTGGGGGTGGGGTGGAGGGGTTCAGACAGGATTTCTCTGTGTAGCCCTACCTATCCTGGAGCTCTCTCTGTAGACCAGGCTGGCCTCAAACTCACAGAGATCCACCTGCCTCTGCCTCCCAAGTCCTGGGATCAAAGGCGTGCGCCACCATCAGGGAAACAGTCTTTTTCCTGGTATTACCAGCACTCAGGAAGTAGAGGCAGGAAGATCAGGAGTTCAAAGCCAGCCTCAGCTACCTAGTGAGTTGGAGGCCAGCCCGGGCCTGTCCCCAAAATAAAACAAAAGAGGACTGGAGAGCTGGTTCAGCTGCCAAGAATGCTTGCTGCTCTTCCAGAGGACCTGAGTTCGTCCCCAGCACTCACACTCACTGCCTGAACTCCAGCTCCAGGAGAGGCAATGCCCTCTTCTTTCTAGCCTGCAAGGGCACTCACACTCATGTGGCATACACACACACACACACACACACACATACACAGAGATAGAAATATACTTATAATAATTGAAACAGAGGGCTGAGGACAGAGCTCAGTGGTAGGGCACTTGCTTAGCAGGAACAAGATCCTCCATTCAGTCCCTGACACTGCTGCCATAAATACATAGGAAATTTGAGCCCAAACATAGCTATCTGGGTGCTGTGGAAACAGGACAGAAATTGGGGTGAAGACAGAGATGGAGGTTGGGGTTTTTGTGGCTACAAGCCAAGGACACCTGTGGCCACCAGGCCTCTACATAACAAGACCCTGTCTCAAAACAAACCAAGAGAAAAATTTAATTGTTTTCTGGTCATAGGTCAGTACACTTTGTGGTCACCCTAAACCTGAACGCTTCACCTAGGAGGTGTCTACTGCTGAAGGGACACTGGAGGGGACAGCCCCTCCTGGGCACCCAGGCCCGTTCTTCCTGCAAAGGTTCCTGAAATGTGAGATGGTGATGACAGGGGAGCTCACAGTACTGAGCAGTTCTCTCCACCAGACCTCATCGTCATAGGCATCTTCCCCTACCCGCCTGTGAAGGCAGGTCCGGTGCCGACTGCATCACTCATCACGGATGAAGAAGCAGCCCACAGCTCCAGCCCTCTGGAGACGGAACCAGAGGAGGGACCATGGACAGTATGCTATCCAGCTCTCAACCACTGCCACACAGAAGCACCGGGAAACCCTCAGGGCTCAGGGCCAGTGCTAAGTCACACTGGAACCCCGGACACAGGAGCCCACCCCACCCCTCCTGACATCTCAGATGGGGCAGAGCCTCACCCAGATAGTCGTTCCTGTTCTGATTGATGCGCAGGATCTCTCTGATGTTATCAACTGCTGGCTTGGGAGAACCACCCATGTTGGACTTTCCTAGAACAGAGAAGAGAAGAATGCTCCATCTGGGTTGACTTTGGAATTTTTCACATCCCTGGAAACATGGGGAACATTCAGCCATTTTAAAACACACCATTTTGGGCTAGAGAGATGGCACAGTGGATAAGAGCACTTGTTGCTCTTCCAGAGGACCCGGGTTCAGTTCCCAGCACCTGCATGGTGGCTCACAGCTGTCTAGAACTCCAGTTCCAGGGGATCCAATGCCCTATTCTGACCTCCAAGGGCACTAGGCTTACACATAACACACATACATATAGACAGGCAAAACAAAACAAACACATGAAGACAAAAAGTTTCTGTAGAGCAAAGGAAACAGCAGAGCCGACAGCCCACAGAGTGGGAAAGCCTTTACAGCCAGACCGCAGACAGGAAGCTAACACAGAATTTACAAAGAATTGGAGAAATTCGGTACTAAGAAAATAAAACTTCCAATCAATAAATGGGCAAATGAACTGAACAGACAGTTTTCAAAAAAGAAACACAAATGGCCAATAACTGTTTTTAAACGTGTTCATTATCCCTACTCATCAAGGAAATGCAAAATGAAACTACTTTGAGATAACTATTTCACCCCAGTCAGAATGGCTGACACCAGCAAATCTCACAACCCATTTGGAGGGGATGTCGAGGGAAGGGAGATATTCACTGTTAGTCGAGATGCAAAGCGATACAGCCAGTGTGGAAGTCATGCTGGACAGTTCTAGACTATTAAAAACGGAAACACGACGTGATTCAGCTATTTCACTCTTGGGCATAGACACCCAGAGAACTCCACACCCTGTGGTAGAGATGTTTGCACCCTCATGGTTATTGCAGCTTTATTCACCAGAGCAAAGAATTAGAATCAACTTTGTGGTGCATCAATGAGTGGATAATGAAAATGTGTGTGTGTGAATATTATTTAGTCTTAAGGATAAGTTAAACTACAAATTTTGCAGGAAAATTAATGAACTTAGATTTTATAATATTAAGAGATGTCACATAATCTCAGAAAGAAATCATCGCATGTCCTCCCAGCCAATAATTCTATGTGTATATGTAAACAAATGTACATATGTGTACAGTACAACACAATGAAAGGCAAACGAGAAAAGCTAATATTGAGGATGAGAAAAGACTGGATGGAGGCAGTGGACACAGGCTAGGAGACAGGATAAAGCTAAGTGTTTTCTAATTCTGCCATGAATTCTTTGGTTTTGGTGATGGGTAAGTGAATAAACATATACTCAATAGTGAACATGTCAAATCCACTGTGACTCTCTGCCGGGCAGTGGTGGTGCACACATTTAATCCCAGCACTCAGGAGGCAGAGCCAGGCGGATCTCTGTGAGTGCCAGGCCAGCCTGGTCTACAGAGTGAGTTCCAGACCACCCAAGGCTGCACAGAGGAACCCTGTCTCAAAACCAAACAAACAAAAAACCACATGAGCCCCCCAAGCACAGAAAGACGACCAGAACACAAGACTTCAGAACCTATCCAGAGGCTGCCCACTGTTGCCTCCTCCAGCAGCCAGGGCGACACTCACCGTCTGTCAGGAGGATAATGGCGTGGCGGATTTCAAGCCACGCAGAACCTCTCATGCTCAAGCGCGCCATCAGGCTATTCATCATGAGGTAGACACTGTTCAGAGCCTCGAAAGTGTTAGTGCCAGAGGCGTTTTCATGATCTGAAATGTGCCAGAAGAAAAATCTTTTGAAAACAAAAACCAAACAATAAAAACCCTCTACCTGCCACCCAGGATTGAGGAGATTGCTCTGTTTGAAAGACCACCAGAAATGCAAGTTGTCAGAGTGTCTGATAAACTCAGGTATTTTGAATGACTTTTCAAAACATTTTGGTTTTTCCACCTTAGAATGTCCATTACAGAAACAGGATGGTGCACGTCTGTAATGCTAGCAATCAGGAGGCAGAAGCAGGAGGATCTTTGTGAGTTCGAGGCCAGCCTGGTTTACAGAACAAGGTCCAAGTCAGCCAAGGCTACACACGAAGACCTTGTCTCAAAAATTAATTAATTAAATAAAAAAGGAAATGCTCATCGAGTAATCCTCAATCTAAAACGACTACAAGTTCCCAAGATATAAAGGTGGAGCTTCCAAAGAGTTTGTGGTGTTTCAGCTGTTTGGTGGCACCCAGGCAGGGTTGACACAGTGTGCAGGTGGGTAATGACAGGGAGGGTGCAGTGTTGAGCCACAAAAAGCAGAGCATATGCCAGAGGATCTAGAAGGAGCTGAAATCCTGTATGGTGCGTTTGAATACGGACTTGTAGTGTGTCACAGAAGGCTGAGGTGTGGAAACTGGAATCCTACCACTGCCCCTGGACCCAAGTGTTCTAAGAATGAACAAATGTGCTCGCTCTCTCTCTCTCTCTCTCTCTCTCTCTCTCTCTCTCTCTCTCTCTCTCTCTTTCTCCCCCCTTCCTCTTCTTCCCTTCCTCCCTCCATCCCTCCATTCCTCTGTCCCTGATAAAGGGTCTTATGTAGTCCAGGCTGGCTTCAATTTCCATAGGTAGCCAAAGAGGACCAGGGAAATGGAAATTATGTGGTGCTGGGACTGGAACCTAGGGCCTCCTGTGTGCTAGGCAAATCCACTACCAACTGAGCTACATCTTCAGGCCCCCCCCAAATCTCTGCAGCTGCTTGGTCCATCCCCTACTCTCCACCTCCCCCAGCAGAAGACAGTCAAACCTTTATAGCAGACTTTGTTCAGACTGCTCATCACCTCCACCACATTCTGGGATTTCTCACTCACGACCGACATGATGGTTTTGGGCTTGGAAGCAAAGGTGATGATAGCAACACTGACCTTGATCTCAAAGCTGAAGATCTGGAGAGGGCAGGAGAGAAGAGGGCAGGCATTGCAAAACCACACAAGAGCAGGTCCGAGAGACACAGAGAGCCTGTGCTGAAACTCGGCCTGAAGAAGCCAAGGGAATGGCACACTCCACGTATGTGCTCCCAACAGACCCCACCTCGTTTCACCCACACATCAGCTCAGTGGTGGTCTGTGATGAGAACGCCCATCTCACAGGGAAAGAACTGGAGTCTTGCCAGCCTGAACAGTGCCACTGACGAGAGGTGCAGGGGGGGGGCTGGAGTTACTTAATGTTAAGCCCTAAGACAGTCTTCAGAACACACACAAACCCTCTTTAAAATGCAGCTGGGGGCAGGCTGGAGTGAAGGGTTAGCAGCCAAGAGCTCTTGTTGTCCCACCTGAGTTCGAACCCCAGAACACAGGTGGATGGCTCACAAATTCCTGTAATTTAACAAATGCCTGTAATTCCAGATCTAAGGTATCCAATGCCTGTACCTGTCCTCTCAGGGCCATGCACACATGTGGCATTCACACACACACACAAATAAAAATTAAAAATAATAAAAATGAGGCAGAGGCAGGAGGATCTCTGTGAGTTCAAGGCCAGCCTGGTCTACAGAGTGAATTCCAGGACAGCCAGGGCAGCACAGAGAAACCCTGTCTTGAAAAACAAACCAAAAAAACAAAAAAAAAAAAATTCAAAGTCATTGTGGACTACAAGAAAAGTCTTTAAAAGAAAAAAACACACACACAAAAGAAAGAAAAGTCTTAAAAACCAACAAAATTAACTGAGGGTCTAGGGGTGTAGCTCAGTGGCAGAGCTTGTCCTTGGTGTGCATCAAGGTCTAGGTTCAATTCTTAGCAGAAAAAAATTAATATACTTGGAAGAAAAAACTATCTTTTTATATGAATTATTGTTAAACACACAACTTTAAAAAAAAAAAGTGTTGGGCTGGGTGTGGTGGTATGTGCCTTTGATCCCAGCCCTTGAGAGAGACAGGCTGATCTCTATGAGTTTGAGGCTAGCCTGGTCTACATAGCACATTCCATGACAGCCAGGGCTGTGTAGAGAGAACCTGTCTCAAAAAATATTTTCTTGTTGGTGCTTCCCCCCATTCCCGTGAGTGTGTGTGCGTGTGCGTGTGCGTGTGTGTGTGTGTGTGTGTGTGTGTGCATTTGTGTGTATGTGTGCGTGTGCATGTGTGTGTGTGTGTGTGTGTGTACACCATGTTAGAGTCAGCCTCTGATTGTGTTTCTGCTCTGTGCTGAGAACTCCAGGAAAGCTGCCCTGACAGCATACGGCAGTTCTGCCCCTGCCCCCCCTCCCCCTGGATCACAAACATGCCTGTGGCATCTGACATTTTTTTTTTTTTCTATTCAGATTCCAGAGATCTGAACTGAAATTTGTGCGGCAGGAGCCTTTACCCACTGAACCATTTCCCATGTCCTTCGTCGGTCTCATGCGGTCCGAGGCTGGCCGTGAACTCCTAAAATCCTCCTGTCTCTACCGTTCCTGCCTTAAGGTATGAAATTATTGGCTTAACAAGAAGAATATGGTTTAAAATTTTGAAATTATTGGCTTTAAAAAATTATGACTTTTCAACAGGAGTGCCAGGTTGGTGTGCCCCATAGGTTATCTCGATAACTCTCTGGAGACCACAGCTGTGGATGAAGAATCCCTGAAAAGACAGAGCTGCGTTTTGCCCCATGTGGTGTCTCCTGGCACCCAGTCCGGTGCCTCGGACATAGCAGGTGTTGCAAAACACGTATGGAATAAAGATATGATCATATACGCTGAACTCGTGGTTCTGGTGGCCTGGGAAGATTTCTAGAAGGAGGTGGGTTGGGTGGGATTCTGAGCAAGGCAGGAAAGCCACCAGGCTTGGGAAGGACTCTCACCCTGTCCACCATGAGGGTGGCGCTCTCCTTGAAGATCTCAAAGTCTTTTTCTGACACACTTTGAGACGCATCGAGCAGCAGATAGAGGTTCAGGTGACCCGAGCGCTGGATTTGGATTCTACGGCCCAGATTTTCTGGAGAAAACAAGAAACCAGGCATTAGGATGTCCACCCACCCTGTGCGACAACAAAGGTCACCCAGCTCCCAGCATCCTGGCAGCTTGCCTCCTGCCTGCTCCATCCAGGTCCCCTCTCCAGTCCTCACTCACCTGTCCTCTTCTGGATGGGATTGGTAGCTCCAAGCAGGTTGGTGAAGGAGGTGCCCAGGGCAGAGGCCACATCCTCAGGGAAGTCATAGGAGTATGGCTCTGTGGGAAGAGTCCCATGAGGGCCAGCAGGACCAGACCTGGGTGCGCAGTCCCAGAAGAACACTGAGGATACTCACGTCGGCAGATGGGCTCTGTCCCACTCCACATCCCGTTGCTCTGGCACTCCCGCTCCACGGAGCCAGTCAGCACCAGATTTGAGGAGGAGCATTGGTAACTGACCTTGTCCCCAAGGTCAAAGCGTGAGCCTGTCCGTACTGTGCCCACAGAGATGCCCGGGTCGGGGCAGTGACCAGCTGCAAGTGAACAAAGACAGGTAAACGGGGATGGGGGTGTCTGCCCGGCTCAATGCCGCGTCCTTCATGCCACATCTTCCTCTTCTAGACCCTCAAAGCCACCAACGGTTCCTTTAGATGCCAGAACCATCAGACTGGAGGATGACTGGAGACCTTAAATAGCCCGCAACACTTAGAGTTCAGGACCTCAGCCACCCACTGGGCACTCCAGGCCTGACCCAGGCATCACCTGCATTTCTTAAACCACAAGGTGATTGCCACACACCATGAGAAGGGTCGACCCTTAACCTAGAGGTGACTCCAGCTATAGGGGAGGGCGTGGAACGGGCAGAACTCTGTTTAAACAGCTGGAATGTCCACTGCGGAAACCCTGAATAAAGCTGAAGTCTGTCAACTTATCACTCCAGAGGGCAAAGTCCGCAGAGACAGTTCCCCAAACCTCACTCTTTGCAGCCCCAAGCCAGACATCACTCAGATACTCAACAGGACAACAACACTCTATGATGCATTTATAGAATAGAATACCATACAATTAAAAAGAGAACCATGGGCTCTGTGACAACATTCATCATTCTCAAAAGCAAAGTAATGAACAAAAGAAAGTGAGATGGGGCTGGAGACATCAGAGGACCTGAGCTCAAGTCCCGGCATCCCCGTGGTGGCTCACAACCGTGTGTAATGGCAGTTGTAAGGCATCCAATGCCTCCGGCCTCCATGAGAATGCACACGTGTGGCATACATTCACACACATATACATATAAATAAAAACACATTTTAAAGGAAGCCAGATATGAAAAAGCACACCCCACATGATTCCATGTGTATGAAGTGTAGGAACAGGACAAGGCTGGCAAGGTGGCTCAGTGGGCAGAGCCACTTCCTACCAAACCCAGCCCGCTGAGTTTGATCCTGATATCAGGCCCTGCGAGTTGTCTTCTGACTGCCACACCCACGCCACGGCACGATCACGCTTCCCCCACGCACATGTGATAAATAAGGAGATATTTCGTAAAATAAAGCAAATTAAAGAACAGGTGGACTTAGACGTCGGAAAGGGGTTGATTATGGAAGGAGACAAGAGAAAGTCCTGCAGTGTAGGTGGATCCTCAAGCTAGGTGGCACTTCATAGGTGGATTCATGTATAAAAATCCATACTTTAGCTGGGCAGTGGTGGCCCACGCCTTTAATCCCCGAACTCGGGAGACAGAGCCAGGTGGATCTCTGTGAGTTCGAGGCCAGCCTGGTCTCCAAAGCGAGTTCCAGGAAAGGCTCAAAGCTACACAGAGAAACCCTGTCTTGAAAAAAAAAAAAAAATCCATACTTTGGCCAGGCAGTGCTGGCACACGCCTTTAATCCCAGCACTTGGGAGGCAGAGGCAAGCAGATCTGTGAGTTTGAGGCTAGCCTGGGCTACAGAGTGAGTTCCAGGAGAGCTAGGGCTACACGGAGAAACCCTGCCCCCCCCCAAAAAAAAAAAAAACAGAAAAAAAATCCATACTTTGGGCCAATGAGATGGTTTGTCAGATAATGGTGCTTGATGACATGCCTCAGCATATAAGATTCATCCCTGCTAGAGCCCAAATAGTAGGAGAGAACCAACTCCTGAAAGTTGTCTCACACACACACACACACACACAAAAAAAAAAAAAAAAAAAAAAAAAAAGATTGTTTTGTAACAAGGTCTCATTGTGAAGCCCTAACTGGCTTAGAATTCACTCTGTAGACCAAACTGGCCTCAAACTCTGAGATTCCCCTGCCTCTGTCTCCTAAGTGCTGGCATTAAAGGTGTGTGCAGCTGAACAAATACTTTGTTGTTGTTTTTTGAGACAGGGTTTCTCTGTGCAGCTTTGGCTGTCCTGGATCTCACTCTGTAGACCAGGCTGGCCTGGAACTCACAGAGGTCCCCCTGGCTCTGCCTCCCGAGTGCTGGCATTAAAAGCGTGCGCTGCTGCCGCTGCCGCTGCCGCCACCACCACCACCACCCGGTTATAAATACATAATTTTAATTTTCCTACTATGGAGTTTAGAGTAAAGCTCAGTGGTAGAGTACTTTGCCTGGTATTCCAGAAATCCTGGATCCCACCCCAAGTCTCACACACGAATTGCATACTTTAATACAGGGAGATTATGTGTCAAATTTAAAATAAATTATATTTACGTTTGAATAAATGGTTGTTTGGGAAAGACTCCAACAGGAGTAAGGTGTCCCTGTCTGGGTAGATGGGTTAGGAGGTGGTCCTTCTGCCTAGCGGAGCCCGCCTCCTGTGTGATGGCGAAGCTGGGTATGCTGGTATGCACTGTGGTGGCTAAGGCAAGAGGGTCAGGAGTTCATAGGCAGTCTGCATTTGAAGCCAGCCTGGGCTACTTGAGACCCTGTGTTTGAAAAACAAAGTGCTCCAGGGGATCCTGAGAGGCCCCCTTCTCCCCCAGCGCCATCCACAGGGCTGCGAAGTACTCAGGGATGCCGGGTTCCGGCCATGACTCTGTGGGAGACCCACGTGGCTAAGCCAGGGCCAGGGTCTCAGGGGACCGGCAGCTACAGGCAGCCGCAGGTGAGCTCTTCCCTCTGCCGTCCCTCTGCTCCCTTGGATGCTGCTTAGTAATTCCAGCCCTTAACCCACTCCTCTATTCCTCTTTCTTACCTTGTATCTTGTTTTGGTTTTTCTTTTTTTCTTTTCTTTTTTTTTTTTTTTTTTTTTCGTTTTTTTGAGACAGGGTTTCTCTGTGTAGCTTTGCACCTTTCCTGGAACTCGCTTTGGAGACCAGGCTGGCCTCAAACTCACAGAGATCCGCCTGCCTCTGCCTCCCGAGTGCTGGGATTAAAGGCATGTGCCACCACCGCCCGGCTTTGTTTTGGTTTTTCAAGACAGGGTTTCTCTGTGTAGCCCTGGCTGTCCTGAAACTCTCTCTGTAGACCAGGCTGGCCCCAAACTCACAGAGTTTTTTTTTTTTTTTAAATTATTATTATTTATGTGTATGTCTGTGTGGAGGCCACACAAGAGCACTGAATCCCCTGGAGCTGGGGTTGCGGGCGGGTGTGAGCCTGATGCACTGGGAACGGAACTCCAACCGCTGAGCCACCTTGACAGGCCCACTGCTCCCATTTTACAAATGTGAAAACTGAGGCACGGGAAGGGTATGTAAGCTGTCCAGAGCTGTCTAACTTAGAGCAACTGGAGTCACACACCCAGCTCCAGAAGCTGGGCACCGAGCCCAACATGCAGCGCCCCGTCTCTCACAGGTCTGCTCCGTGACACTCCATGGGGTTGAGTACGAAGCGTTGTCTTGAAGCGTTTAGAAAAGCGGACCAAGCAGGTTTGGTAGCTCCTGCCTGCAATCTGAGCACTCTGGACTGAGACTGCAGTGAGTGCAAGGCCAGCCTGGGCTACATCCTGAGCCCCAGTTCAACCTGGGCTAGAGTGAGTCCCCGAATCAAAGAAAGGAAGGGAAGAAAGAGGAGAGAGAGAAGTAGGGAGCAAAGGGAAAGGAAAAAAGAAGGAGTTGAAGGGTATGTGGAGCCGCTGAGTCAGGTGTGAAACCTATCAGCAAGTGCCTGGACAGGGCTCCGTTTGGGCCAGCGAAGTGTGGACCCCAGACCCCAACCCCAGCCCAGGATCATTACTGTGCCCCCACCAACACCATGCTCTGTCTCCACAAAAGCTTCTGGGGTTGCAGCCGCCGCCCCCGTCCCCCCCCCCGTCCCCCCCGTCCCCCCCATCCCGTCCCCCCCCAGTAGCCCAGCAGTGAGAGCACTCACCCCCACTGTCACACACAGCGGTCTCCCCGTCCCACATGCCGTTGGGGCGACAGTACCGCACAGGCGAGCCCCGCAACGTGAAGCCTTGCTCACACTGGAAGCTCAGGTTGCCACCCACGGGGTGAGACCCCAGCCGAGGGGTGTACATGCCGTTCTCAAAGGAAGTCGGAGCTGGACAGCGAACAGCTGCAGGGAGAGAAGTCAGGCAAAGCGGAGGATGGCGGCGGACACCCGGCCTAGGCGTGGGGCGGGGCCTCCCGTTAGAACTGCCAACTGGATGCCAAGACGAGGTAAGAGCCTGGTGTGGTGTGGCAGGAGGGTCACGGAAGCACAAGGCCCGCTAGGTTATTTGGTGAATTTGAGCCCCCCCTAGACTGTAACGAAGCCCTGTATCAAAAACAAAATCAGGGGGCGCTGGAGAGATGGCTCAGAGGTTAAGAGCACTGACTACTCTTCCAGAGGTCCTGAGTTCAATTCCCAGCAACCACATGGTGGCTCACAACCATCTGTCATGAGATCTGGTGCCCTCTTCTGGTCTGCAGTCACACATGCTGTATACATAATAAATAAATCTTAAAAAAAAAAAAAAAAATCAGGTCAGGTGGTGGTGGCTCACCCTTTAATCCCAGCACTCAAAGGCAGAGATCTGTGAGTTCGAGGCCAGCTACACAGAGAAACCCTGTCTTGGTAAACCAAGAACAACAACAACAAAAAAAATCACAACAGTTGGGTGTGGTGGTGGTGCACACCTGTAAACCCAGTACTAGAGAGGCAGAGGCTGGTAGATTAATTACTGTAAGTTTGGGTCCAGCCTGGGCTACAGAGAGACTCTGTCTCAAAACCAAACAAGGTGGCTCATGCCCATGAGGCCAGCACTTGAGAAGTGGGATTGGGAAGCAGGAGTGTAAGTCCATCCTCAATGAGTTCAAAGCTCACCTTTGAAACCAAAGCAGGCTCAAAACAAAAGTAATTAGTCAAAAAAGGGCTGGGAAAATTAGCTCAATGGAAGAGCGCTGGCCAAGTATGAGTAAGACCCTGACGTCCAATCACAGCACCAGAGAAAACCCCAAAAGGAGATGGAAACATAAGATTGCGTCTTAGGCAGTTGGTTGAATACTGCCAACTTAGAACAGCTCAAGCCCATCCGACTGATACATAGCTGCCCCCCTCGAGGGCTGTGGTCACCCCAGTCTCTCATCAAGGACACTTGTGTTCAGGGTGCTCCAAGGCATTCAGCATCCATTCAGAATGGACAACAATCCTACAGTTAACTTTACCTAAAAAAAAAAATTATCCTTACTAAGGACAGTGGACTTTTTCCGGGTTTGTTTGGTTTGGTTTTTGTGGTTTCCTGGGGGCCTTTGTTGGGGAGGGTTGTTTGTTTTTTGGAGATAGGGTCTCCTTTTACAACCCTGGCTGGCCTAGAACACATTATGTAGACCAGGTTATCCCCAAACTCACAGAGATCCACCTGCCTCTGCCTCCCTCCCTCCCTCCCTCCCTCCCTCTGCCTCCCAAGGGCTGGAATTAAAGACGGATGTCACCACAACCGGCTTTTTCCTGTATTTTGAAAGCCTCTCTCTAACTAGTCCCTGGGAACCCCCTGCTAATAGGTCTGACGCTGGTGGGCACTTCCCAAAGCCCAGAGGGACTCACGTTTGCAGACTGCCTTGACCCACCGAGGGGATTGCCACAGGGTGGACAGCGGGCCGGATCTCGGGGTCTGCCACCGCCCGTTGCTCTGGCATCGTCTCCAGGCCGGGGTTGGGTAGCTGCCCAGGGGGCAGGTGTAGGTGAGGAGGCTCCCAGGGGCCCAGCCATGGCTGAGGGTGAAAGTACCACCGGAGATATTGACGTTCTGAGGACAGGAGAGCGCTGCCAGGCCTGTGGGTGTGGGGAAGGAAAACCGGCCCAGATGAGAGAGGGGCGGCGAGAAGTCGCTGTCTCTTTCAGGTGTGGACTCGACCGACCCAGCTGCACCTGCCACGCCCATAGGGCCCCAGAGCCTTGTCCCTGCCTCCTACCTGGGCACAGCGGCAGCAGGCAGAGCAGGGCCCGCAGAGGGGCCATGGTGTCAGCACCGGAGGAGAACGGAGAGCCAGAGGTCATCTGACTTCCCCGAAACCACCGCGGGCTGAGCAGGCTGCCAGGGAATCCAAAGTCAAAAGGCGGGGAGTGGCCGAGGCGTCAGGGGCAGGGTCCTAGGGGAGGGAAACAGAAGACGTGCCAGGGATCAGGGGCTCAGCTCTGGGGGCAGAGCCTTTGCCCTGCCCCAAATGAAGGTTCCAGGACATCAGAGTCAATGGATTGTGCACACCTAAGTGGGTACACACGCAATGCGCACACACACACACACACACACACACACACACACACGCACGCACGCACACACACACACGCACGCACACCTGGTCTTGTGTGGATCATGTTAAGCACACACACCCACAAACCCTGCCAAACATATTTACAGTGTTTCATTTCCTTTTGGAGTTGGCCACGTGGATCTGATCCCCTGGGCCCGGTGGGGATCACAGCTTCTGAGGAATCGAAACTAATCTTTTTAGAACTTCTTGGCATATGAGAAGATTCACATTCTTTCCTGGGTCTTTCCCCGAAAACAGGATAAAAAGAAAGTCAAAGTCAACAGTTTCTTGCAAAGACGGGAAGATTGCTTAGAACGTGGTTTTTTTTTTTTTTTTTTTGACATCCAACAGATAAAATTTCCAACTTGCAAAAAGAAAAAAAAAATAGGGGTTGGGTATTCAAAAGAATAACAGTATTTTCGAGTTTGAGATACACTTTTTAATTGAAAAAAAAAAGCTTTTTTCATACAATATATTTTGTATGGAATATACAGGGTCTCACGTAATCTAGACTGACTTAGAATTTGCTAAATAGCTGAAACTGTCCTTGAACTCCTGATCCTCCAGCCTCTGCCTCCCAAGGGTGGAGGTTACAAACACTGGCTACCACATAGGACACCCAGCCAGTTTGTTAGTTAGTTTTGAGACAGAGTCTTACTATGTCTCTGTAGCTGTCCTGGATCTCGCTCTGTAGACCAGGCTGGCGTTGAATTCACAGAGATCCACCTGCCTCTGCCTCCCGAGTGAGTGCTGGGATTAAAGGTCTGGGCCATTACATCCTGCCCAGCCATGGAGAATTTAAGGCGATGTATTACCCTCCTTGTCCCTCATACGCTTAGTTACTGTTCTTGTAACTAACAAGGTCAAGGCCAGCACCCTCCCATCTCCACCCCAAGAAAATCTGTCAGATCAGCAACAAAAATACCATTGGTTTCTATTTCTTCTGCTGTGTGTGTGTGTTTGTGTATGTGTGTGTGTGCGTGTTTATGTGTGTGTTTGTGTGTGTGTGTGTGTGTGTGTGTGTGTGTGTGTGTGTGTGTTTGTGTGTGTGTGTGTGTCACGTGCACATGTGTTTGTACCTCTGGAGGTCAGGGGACAATCGCAGGTGTAACTCCTCAGGAACCTTCCACCTTTCGCTTGAGATGGGTTCTCTCACCGGCCCAGAACTTTGCCAAATAAACCAGACTAACTCACCAGCTTCACCCTGAGCTTCAAGGACCTGCCTGTCTCAGCTCCCAGCAGCACTGGGGTCCAGAGAGGGCAATGCAGCATCCCGACTTTTAATGCGGATTCTAAGGCATCCACAGGGAGGTCCTCACACGTGCAAGCATTTTACCAGCCTCGTCTTCTATCCACCCAGCCCCCATGTTCTTGAGACTGGGTTTCTCGCAGCCAGTGCTGGCCTCAGACTTCCTGTGTAGCAGAGGCTGGCCCTGAACTCCTGATCCTCCTGCCTCCACCTTCCAAGTGCTGGGGTTACTGCCACCTTAAGGAAGCTTTGCACACACTGACCTTACTGCCTCAGAAAAGAAGGACTATGTCTGGCTCCTGGCTCCTCCACGCCACCGTCCCCAGGGGCTGCCCTGTAAGCCCGGACGCGAGGTTCCACACTGAGCCTTCTGACATTGTCCCTTGTACCAGCTTCCCAAGGAGTAAACAAAAGGCTGAGAAGTGGGTTCTTAGGCCTCCAGGAAATAGACGGTCTGTCCTGGACCTACGGTGAGGAGTCACGTCACTTTCCGACAACAATTGAGCCCCTGGAGTGTTCCCATCTGCACATGCATACTCTTCCTTCTCGCCGCCGGCCATTGCCGAGGGATCTCCACATTCCTGAGGGCTGGTGGGGCTCTTCTTCCGTGTGGGGAAGGCTGCTGGGTAGGACATAGTGACAAGGTGGTGGCCAGGCACCAGCCGGGAAAGGGTTAAGTGTGGCAACTACCTTACCACAAGCTCTGCTCTGGATTTAGCCTCGGGGAGAGGGGACCCGGCAGCCGCTCTGCCTTTTCAATGACATACATGGTGCAATGCTCCATCTCCTCCCCTGTCCCCAGAAACTGCTCTGGAGCTCCTGTCCTTGCCAGCTCCATCGCCTCACCCCTGCCAGGCCTGATAAGGTAGAGTCTCCAGATGGAGGGGACAGATATTTATGCTTTCTTTCCTTCAGGCACAAATGAGACGCTCTACTCCAGCAGAGTTTACCCCACTCCCAGCCCCAGATCAGTGTGGCAGAAGGAATTCAGTGTGGGGCTTAAGATGGCTAGGGCGCTCAGGGCTGGCTCAGCTCCTCGGTTATCTGTTTCATCAGTGCCACACTGGGGCCGTCGGGAAAACACACCGAGAACAAACTGAGCAACCGAAGGGAGAGAATCAGCGGCTCTGGGGTTGCATGCCTATAATCCCGGCGTTCAGGAGGTTGAAGCAAGAGGATTGCACGTTTGAGACCAGCTTACGCTACTTAGTACTCCAGTCCAAAAAAGGAGAAGCCTCCCATCGTATCTCCCATAGATCTGAAAGGGTGATGTGCTGAGTTTGGGCCCACTCACAGACGACCAACACATGGTGCATGTGGACAGTGGATCACCACACGGCTTCTCAAATCCTGAGGCGCATCTGTGTAGAGCGGAATAACTCAAGACAGACCAAATGTAGACACTAGATGACCTAGACGGTATGTATGGGACACTGACATTCATAAAAGGGAAAAAACAGCGTGGGAGATGGTAACTTTTCCTTTAGTTTGCTGTGGGTTTTGGTTGTCGCTGGTGATGGCAGTCTTGTGGTGCTGGGGATCTGGCGTAGGACTTTCTTTGTACATGCTAGGTAAGGACTTACCTCTGAGCTCTACCCCAGCCTCACACATGCTCTGTAAATGGGCAGAACTCTTCTGGGAACTGAATAGGAGAACCGGGGCTGGAATGGGCTGAGGAGAGGGAGTTACACGAGTCTCTTGTCTTTTTGGCTCTGGTGTTTGTATGAAACAAGGTCTCCCATAGCCCAGGATGGACCCAAATTCTCTACATAGCCCTGAGTGCTGGGATTACAGGCGGGTACCACCATGCCTGATGTATGTGACCCGGGGGTGGGACCCAGGACTTCCTGCATGCTAGGCCAGGGCTCTACCAACCTAGCTGCTTCCTCAATCCTATGTAAACTTCTTGTTGGTTTGTTTTTGTTTTTGAAATGAGGTCTCTCTTTGTAGTCCTGGATGGGCTAGAACCTGCTGTAGAGACCAGGCTGGTCTCTAACTCACAGAGCTCTGTCTCCTGAAAACTAGAATTAAAGGCATCAGTCACCATGCCCAGCTAGTGTTTTGTTTTGGCTTTGAGATCTACTTTTGTTGGATGGGCCTGGTGGCGCACACCTTTAGTCCCAGCACAGACAGAGACAGGGGGATCGCTGTGAGTTCGAGGCTAGCCTGGTCTACCAAGTGAGTTCCAGGACAGACTCCAAAGCTACAAAGAAACCCTGTCTCGAAAAACAAAACTAAACCAAAACAAAACAAAAAGGACCAGGGAAGGGCGAGGGGACACTTGCTTTTCGTCACAGGGAAGGCAGATCTCTGTGAGTTCAAATTCAGCCGGGTCTACATAGAGGCAGTGGGACTGAAGAGTTCGGGTGATAGTGAACTGGAGGCCGGGCAGAGGTCGGAGTGGGGTCTAACGGGGATGTATGAACTGGTTATCAGGGCACCCAGCGTGGGAGTCAAGCAGGCTGCTTATCAGTTCTCCCAGTTTCTGCCTTCCAGGCACACGACGGAATCAAATGTCCGAGCCTTGCTCAAGTTCGTCCCAGCCAAGTAGCTTTAGATGATGCTGTGGTCCAACACATCGTCTATGGTTACTTCTAAGCAGGAGTCCTCCATCAGCTGAATGAGACAACTTACAAGGGGATTCCGGCACTCAGGAGACAGAGGCAGGAGGATTTCATAAATCCCAAGCCACTCTAACCTACACATACCAGGCCAGTCAGCACTACATAGTGAGACCCTGTCTCAAACAAATAAAAATGTGCTGGATTGCCAACGTAATGTTCCCAGAGGCCTCTCCTCTTCCCCCTTCCTTCTTTATTACTCAGTCAGGAGATGAACAGGGCTTCCTGTGTGTTACCCAGCCCTCTACCCCGGAGCCTCAACTACTAATGTGTTTGTTCACATATTGATTGAGACTGGGGCTCAAGACATCGGGCAGCAGGATACCGAGGATGGCCTTGAATGCCTCCTCCTCCTGCCTGAGGCTCGCAAGTGCTCGAAGTGCACACGCGGTCCATCAGGCCTAGTGTGTATGTGAGTGTAAAATTTTTTAAAAGTTATTTCTTTAGTTGAGATCTCCTGGGTAAACTGAGGGTGAGGGGGGGGATTGCCTAGGAGGAAGGGGATGGGGGATGGGAACATGAGAGATTGGGATCGGGATGGTCGAGTTGGGGGAGGGATGGAGAGGGAGAGCAATGAAAGAGATACCTTGATAGAGGGAGCCATTATGAGATTAGGGAGAAACCTGGTGCCAGGGAAACTCCGAGGAATCCACAAGGATGACCCCAGCTAAGACTCCTAGCAATAGTGGAGAGGGTGCCTGAATTGGCCTTCTCCTGTAATCAGACTGGTGACTACCCTAACTGTCATCAGAGAGCCTTCATCCAGTAACTGATGGAAGCAGATGCAGAGATCCACAGGCAAGCACTGGGCCGAGTTCCAGGAGTCCAGTTGAAGAGAGGGAGGAGGGATTATATAAGCCAAGGAGGTCAAGATCATGACGGAGAAACACACAGAGACGGCTGACCCAAGCTCATGAACTCTAGACTAACCACTAGGGAGCCTGCCTGGGC